GGGGGGGGGGGGGGGGGGAGGCACTCACTGTCCAAGTTTCTGATGCTGTCTGATAAGGCCGAGTCCATTTCCGTCGATACCTACACCACCACTCATCAATAATGGTTTCTGAATTTTTAAGCTAAATTTTTTTGCAGCATTCTAACTCAAACCAGGTAGGAAGAGAAGGAGCGGGGCGCGTTCACATGGAGCCTTGCTATCAAGGAGGGGAGAGAACCAGCGAGTGGGGCTGTTGTCTTCCGGTCTGATGAAATCCCTAGCCGCCTCTAGGTAGTCCCTCAAGCTCTTCTCCGATCGCTGCTCCGAGCTAAAAGCGGTGACAGAAACTGAGAATCGGGGTATTGCTACTCCAACAGAAAGCTTGTGCTTCTCTCCCATGCGTAAGCCGGAGGTAGAGAGCAGATGTAATCCGGTGGCCGCCATGGCAAGAAGAAGAAGAAGAAGAAGAAGAAGAAGAAGAAGAAGAAGAAGAAGAAGAAGAAGAAGAAGCTAGTTCTGGTGGTGGTGCTCCAGCTTCCTCCTCCATTTGTACCAACAGATTCTTTAATTGTTTCCTTCTGTTTTCCAGGCGTAACGAACATCTCATGACTCAACGGTCTCTCCATCTCTCACGCCCACACGCCAAAGCCGTCATACGAATATTAATACTTTAGTGGGCTTCTTCCCTTTTTAGTGTGGCCCATTCTTTTTCTTTTATCTGACCCAACAAAAACAAGGGTGGGGGGGGGGGCAATTTAGTGGACTTTATCAGGCCTAATCCCTCTGTAAAGGGCTCTCGTATGTTTGGTGTGGGGCCTCTTCTCCTAAACCCTGGTGTGTGTTTCAAAGCTCTCGCTCTACTCCTCTGTCACCGCCGCCGTCGCTTCCGGTGAGTCATCTCTCTCTCTTCTCTCTTGCGCAGATGCAAATAGCTGCAGACTTTTTTTTTTTAAATTGATTTGAGTTTTAAACGATGAATGGATGTCTCTCTGTGTTGATTTTAGGATCGTAGTTCTGAAGAAACTTATATTCGGAGGAGAGCAAACAAGGATGGCCACTCAAGCTGCCTCATTCAGTGGCAACTTAAAGGTAAAAAAACTTCATTCTCTTTGATAAACTGGAGGCCTTCTTCTTGTTCATTAGTTACATTTCCTTTCACATATGCAACAAACAAATAGGAGCTTTGGTTATGATGCATTGATCTTGAATATTTCTTTATGTCTTTCTTTCTTTCTTCTGCAGAAAGCTGTGGCTGGTATAAAGCGTATCAATCTCGACGGTCTTCGTTGGCGAGTTTTTGATGCCAAAGGCCAGGTTTTCTTCTCTTTCTTGTTTCAAAATAGAATAGGTAGTGTTTTAATAACATTATTAGGATCTCATTTTTCCTTTTCTATACATCTTCTTCCTTTGCAGGTTCTGGGTAGACTAGCATCTCAGATATCAACTGTGCTTCAAGCCAAAGATAAGCCTACTTATTGTCCCAACCGCGACGATGGTGATATTTGCATTGTTCTCAATGCTAAGGATATCGGCATCACTGGAAGAAAGCTCACTGACAAGTTCTACCGCTGGCATACTGGGCAAGTTGAAGTTCCCCTTTCTCTTTTTTTGATACTATCATTTATTTTGGGCTACTGTAGTATCTCCTATTTTCTTTTCTTCTTGTTAACATTTATTTATCCCCGTTTGCTTACAGGTACGTTGGCCACCTGAAAGAACGGAGTCTGAAAGATCAGATGGCCAAAGACCCCACCGAGGTCATCCGCAAGGCTGTCTGGCGCATGCTTCCAACTAACAATTTGCGTGATGTGAGTCAAACGCCTTTCTACTTCCTACCTCTTATTGGTTTTCTTAAATGCTAGTGTAAATTACTCTTTACACTTTAGAATCCATCATGACATAGGGTCTGACATTCTCGGTGGTGCCTTATCACATACCGGTCTCTCTTGTCTGTTAAATCATATGGTAATGCTGAGCACTTGGTTTGGCCAATTGTTGCTTACCTTTTTCTTTGGTGGGATAACATTTCGATACATTATCATTTCTCAGCTTGCCTGTTTGCTTATTTGTTGCTAGTATCAATTTGCTTACCGTGCTGAGTTTTTTTTTTTTGTTTCTTCATGTGGGTTTTATAGGACAGGGATCGGAAGCTGAGGATATTTGAAGGCAATGAACATCCTTTTGGGGACAAGCCACTCGAACCATTCGTGATGCCGCCTCGTACAGTCAGAGAGATGCGACCGCGCGCAAGGCGAGCATTGATCCGTGCCCAGAAGAAGGCAGATCAGGCAGAAGGTGGTGGAGCAGAGGTAAAGAAAGGCAAGAAGAGGACTCCTTCTCCTCAAGTAACTGCGTAGAAGAAAAGCTTCACGAAGATGATGTGATTCAGTTTTATTAAGCAACGATCATAATGCAGCAGGCGTGGATAAGCTTTTCTTGTTTGTTGAGTGGCAGATAATAGACACGGCCCTATCATGAAGTAAAAACCCGTTCTTCCTTAAACATGGTCTCGTTTCTGGTTCAACTGTTAGGCATGTGATTTTTTGAGATTGTGGAAATGCATCAATTATGTGAAATTGTACGAATAGGACATATATTTCATAAGAGTGGCAATAATAAACATACATGTTTCTCTTTTCTTCGTCAACAAGACAAAACACATCTAGTCCTAAGGTGAAAACAGACACAGAAGAATGAATATAGAAGATGGATACACCATCTTGGAAACAGCATTTCATTATCTCCCTATTTTGGTTTTGGCTGTTTTTAGTTTAACTTTGATATACTTTCTATCTTTGCACAACATCTGCCAGTCTTGGAGCACTGTTGCCTGAAGCGCCATGTGCTCTGTGTTTTTCTGCTGTCACCTTAGATAGTGAATGTTTATGAAGATTTTACTCCACGCATTCCAGTTCCAGCCATAGTTTTGTGTCTGCATTGACAGAGAGATCTGTCTAGATCTATTTAGGCTCTGTTGCACTAGCCAATAAAAGGATCATATAATTTGATTATAAATACGAAATATTCATTGATTTCTGATTTCTAGGGAAAAACGAGTTTTTAAAGTGCTATATCCCAGTCTTGTGATAAGCCAAACAATAGGAAATTCAAGGCCCCAGTTTGTTGACAACAGGTTTTGCAAGGAGACGTAAAAAATTACAAATAATGTCACGACCACATGTTACTTGTTCGGTAAAGAACACTTATATACTCATCATCTATACGTAAACGTAATATAATAACAAAACGAAAAGAAGAAGAAGCAAAATGTGGATCATTCACTACTTGGAGCCTACCCTGTCCACACTCTTCCTTCCTCTCTCAATCTGATGTGAGTGGTCAATGCTCTTCCGAGTTTTGTCATGGCAGTCAAGGCTTCTCCTGGACCGATCCAGATGGTGGTGATCAAAAGATATCCTGAGCTTGCTGCTGCTGATACTAGTACTCTTCTTCCACTGACTCTTTGGGGGAAGCGGCTTACCCTCTGTGCTCTGCCTTGGCTTCTCTCTCCTGTCCACACTCTTCTTCCGAGTAGGTCCATCATCTCTGACACCGCTGCTGCTCCGGCAAGGTAATCTCTCTACTGTTGTGATGAATTTCTTGAGGTGTCTCATGTATTCAGGGTATTGTTCAAGATCACAGTGCTTTCCTCCTTCCACCCAAAGCGGCTCATACTTGTCTTTGCACAGTTCCCATAGTTGTTTCCCATGACAACAGTCCACTACTTCATCCGAAGTTCCCTGCACCACACACACATATATATATATATTTAATAAACTCAAAAGTTATAGCGAAAATGTATCTCAAAACTCAAAAAAAAAGCCTAAACCCTAACTAACTTACATGAATGATGAGAACAGGGCAATCGACATATGGGATTTTGTCGATATTCTGCAAATAAAAACACACATTGTGGTGTGGAGAGTGGGAACAGAGGAAGAAATGAAGGTAATTATTTGGAGTTACCTTGTAGATGTCGAACCAGTAGGTTTTCTTAACGGCATACATTACCCTTAAACCGGAGAGGATGGGGCTGTGGAGTACGACAGCTCTCAATAGAGGGAACCGGGAAGCAAGATGTAATGTGGGACCGCTCCCTACAGACTGACCGTAGAGGATAATATCTTCCTGTTTAGAGCCGTAGGTTTCTTCAAGACACTTATAAACAGCTTCGATATCAGCATAAGTGTTATGCTCACTCGGCTTCAATCATCATAAGAAGAAACAAAGGTTTAGTCCTCCTAATGAAACAGTCCAATCACTTGAGGTTGAGGTTGATGGTGTTAAGAGGACAAACCTTTCCAGTTGATTGTCCATACCCGGAGTAATCGTATCTGCAAATCATGATTGAACTAACTTATATCGCAAGGACTAGCTGATTTGAAGCAGAGCTAAGATATGAAATCTTATTAGTCCAACATTTAACCAAAAACATTTTTTTCTGTTTTTCCAACACAAAGAAAAACAGAACCAACAAATAATCTTACCCAAAGAAAAAAAAAAAACATATGGTCTCTCAGTTGTCTAGGAAAGAATCAAATGAGGCCAAAAACCAAACTAAATCAACAGAAAATAGAAAACAGAATATACACTCATTTTAAAATATATATATATCATATCAAGAACCAAATAAACACAAGTAAAAAAGGGTGTGTGTGTAACAATTTGAAGGTTCAAAAGAAAGAAAGACATACCCCATGAGATTAACCTTGAGATGGATGCTAAGCTGGATGAAGAGCTCATACATCTGTCCCAGATCGGTGGCGTTTCCATGCGAGTAGAGCAGCGTCGAGGTGGCCATCGGGTGCCTCACGTACATAGCCATTATCTCCGTGCCTCTTCGGGTCTGAAGCTTGTGGATTTCCACGTTTTCTCTGTGTGGGAAAGGGGCGAGAAGCAACAGTTCCGTCACCTCGTCCGTCACCACCTTGTAAGACGGCGGACTCGGAGGGAAGAAGGCGAACTTCGCCGCCACCGAAGACGTCACCCCTCCCATCTCCTTCCTTCCTTCCTCACTAGGTCTGTATCTACACAAATAGCATTCCCTTGTGATTCTTGAAATGTGATGCTTTTTCTTCTTCTTTTTTAGGGGGAAGGGAGAGAGAGAGAGAGACAGAGACTGCTAGTATTCAGCAATAACTAGTGGCTTTTTACTAGTTGGTTTACATTCTTCTATGTTTCTTTTCATGATTCCAAGGCTAAAAATATGCAAAAGATGAAAACTACTTTCGACAAGGTAATGTGACTATGTCCATCTAGTTTGTGTAGGGGTTAGGTTTGGGGCTACGTATCTTCTATCATGTGATTTAACGTAATTTACTTTTGTATCAATATCTACTTATCTACCAACACTCTTGCTTAAAAATCACAGAGATTATAAGTAATAACCCAAAAAAAACTATATAAGACTTGATCTGAAAGTTTATCCCCTAAATCATGAATAGACTTTTTAATTTATAATGTTGAGCTGATAGTAAATAGTAGTATCAAATTATTAGATGTATTATCCACGGCTAATACAAGTGGACTGTCTATTATTAAAAGAAAAAACTTTTCCCTCCAAGCAAAAGGATCACATTAATAATTCAAAGTGTTTTGCTAAGACATAACAAGGTGGACAATAGCATGTGAGAGGGGATGAGGAGGGTTGGTAATTTCATAAAACCATGGGTTGTGACTAGACACTTGTGTTCTTTTAACCATTTTGCCTTGATTTGGACTAAACATATGAAAGTCTTGAAAAAGGAAGTTTATGAATTTGTGAATCTATGACAACAACTCTGCAATTCCCCAAACAAAACGATTATTAATAAGCAAATACGCTTTGCTCTATTGCAAATTAAAAAAAAAAATATACATTTCAGATTAATAAATGAACCACACAGGAGGATATGATAAGGCTTAAAACAAGGAATATAAAACATCATACTGACGACATGAGGGGCACACTGAAATGCTGTAATCTAATGCACAAGAAAATGAGATATCAACTACCAACACAAAAAACAACATTTACAAGAGATAATCCAATAAATGAAAAATATAGTAAATTAGAAGATGAGAAAAACACAGGTAAATAACACAGTAGAAAGGAAAATATTGAAAACTCTAAAGAAATAATCAAATGGTGTATGTTGGTGTCCTTCATGGGGTCCAACTAAAATTTAGAAGAAAACCTATTATAAAATCATCTTCATCTATGATGTTTTTGTAAATAATTGTCAAACAAACAAAATATTAATAATTTAATGAACTGTAGTTAGAGAAGTTAATTTAAAATGAGTTTTAGATATTTCTTATAAGTTTCATTTGAAATTTTCATCTTTTTCTTCTTTTTTTGTTTCAACAAATTTATACGAAAACATAATAAAGAGAGAGGACGCAAATAGTATATCGTTTCTTTGTGGTGGGTCATCACTCCCCATCATTGACAGTTTCAAAATCTTGTTTTGCAAAAAATATAAAAAGGAGTAAATAAAGCATATATAAATCCATTAAAAAATAGTTATTATTGAAAATGATCAGGAATACTTCAGTCAAACATTGTCCACGAAGGACAAACCACATGACTGGCCAATTCTCATACAAAGAAGACACTGAAATTATTGTTTAAATATATAAAATTCAAATTTTTAGTAGAAAAACAAAAAGAACCGGGAAGAAGAAGACGCTCGTTGGCCATGCATGGTATGATGGCCTAGTTTTTCCTTATCTAGAAGTTGTAGTTCTCGTCTTGGTCAAGGAGCTTATCATCGTGGCAACAAGCGAAGCTCATGTACTTCTCCATGGGACGGTGACATTCGAAGCAGTTCATCTTCTCCGGAATCCGACCGCTCCTAGCAGTGATGTGGAAATCAAAGTGGCTGCATGGTTTCCCGGTTTCCCGGAGAATCTCGTCGTGGTGGTGGTCGTACATTGCCTTGGTGTAGCCTTTGGTCGGAACGTGAGTTTTCCAGGTTCGGTCGTAGACGGTCACAGTCCTCTCAATGGCACCGTGAGTTATCATCACTATCTCAGCTCCTTTGCTCAGCAGTGCCCAACCTCCAAGCTTGTCGTAGCTTAGTACCTTTTTGATTCCTTGCATCACCTAATTGATAATTCAAGGAACGACACCGTTAATCAAACAAAACACAAACCAAACCAAACCCTAGGTAGGTTGGTAGTAGTACCTCGTCGTGATCATCAGCTTTGCCGAGTTGAATCTTGGAGTAGAGCATGCTCTCCAGCCTAGTCCAGAAGAACCACATCAATGCAGGCTCGGTCCAGCTATGACTCAGATTTTCAGCCCTGACGGCTTCACTGATGCGCCTGATCTGTTCTCTGTGACTGTGGTTACGTTTACCAACATAAGCCATCTCCAGCTTCACGTTGGAATCTTTGGCCGTCGCTTTGGCCGCCCTTGTGAACCTTCTTATCCAGTCCAAGTCATCTCCTCCGTATAAGAATATGTAATTTTCAGGGTTTATCTGTAAATCAAATCGTCCCATTAATTGCATCAGTTTCCAAACACATGTTTCATTTAGGTCGAAAGGGAAAGTTTTATTCCCCCAAAATAATTAATATATATTAGGTCAAAGCAGAGTATTAAATTACCCAATTGAAAATGACAGAGTCGATGCCATCAACGATGAGGTTAAGCGTAAGGGTCTCCCTCCTCCAGAGCTCCTCCTCACGAGCTCTAGTGAAAGGGAAAGCTTCAGTCCCCCAAATCCAGATCATGTGAAGCGCATTGAGACTAGCCTCGTTGCCTTGTGGGTCAAGCACCACAAGTATTGGCTTGTTCATGAAATGCCATCTCTCTCTCATAAACTCCACCACATGTCTCTCTATCAGCTTTGGACTATCCACTGTGTACCATGGCATAGGCTCACGGAGAGCCTCAAATTTCTTCTGCAGACTCGGAGATCTTTCGAAATCTTCCATAGGATCCACTATCGGAACCCACACAACCTCGTAAGGCATATGGCTCTTACCATCTACTCCCACCAAGTTCTTCCTCGACTCTGTGTATATTTGCTCGAAAATAGATAGCTCGTCTTCCAATATGTTGAGGTCGGAGATGAGAAGCAACACTGTCTTCCTCCTTAACACATCCAAGTGAACCTGACAAGATTCATACATAGTAGATTAGATCGCATGCATGCATGCATGAATGGGTTTAAAAGTTGACAGAAACCTTTCTCTTGGTGGAACCATCTTGCAGTGGTGTGCTGTGGTTTTTAGGATGAATCAAGGCCGTGAGAATCTTCATGTTATCAATGTGAGTGGTGTCGAATAGAGAATGCAACATCTTTAGGGATTCTGAGCTCCTCTGCTTCTCTGCAAAATTCCCACTCTTTATTTGTCAGCAAAGAAACAGAGAGATCAGTGTGTTGATTTGAGACCGTACTACAAACCTATGTGACGGTAGCAAAGCCTCAAGGTCTCAGCGAGATGGTATGAATGTTCTTGAGCTTGTTAGCTAACATTGACGTTTCCCATGAATCCATCTGAGTGTTCATCATCCTGGTATTGTAAAATTAATATATCGTTATATATTGAGGCACAACTCAAAGCAATAAAAAGAATTATAATCGCACTCGTGTCCCATGGCAGTGATCATGTTGATCTGAGAAATGCAAGCCACGATGCTTCTTATGGTCCAATAAACAGCGATTGGGATGGTAGAGATGATTTTTGATAGATGAGGATCCTCAAGTGTAATGTAGCGATCAGGTAACTCGCTGAGTTCCACAACACATGCAGTGACGCTCTTCATCTCACGGATGAGATCATTGAGCCCATGGGATACAGACTCGAGGGTCACTCTGTTCTGAACAGGGACGAGCTTTAGCATAGCTAGGGACTTAGCGAGCTGGTTCTTTGAGTGGAACTGAACCAGAAGCCAGAATTCTCCGTAGTTCAACGCAAACGCGGCTAGAGTCAGGACTAGCTTGCCGTGCCAGTGGAAGCTCGAGAGGTGTTCAAACACTGACATTGTTATTTCATGTGCGTCTGACCCCGTCAGAGACTTGTACGCTATCTGCAAGAGGACGAAAATTTAATAGCCTTTTTGTTGCTTGGTTTACAAGTTATGTTTTCAATTAGGTTTTGGTGGTTAATTACGTGTACAACAACATTTACATGCAAGGTATGGTTTAAAACTTGGATTTTCCTATTCTAAATCATTAAATCGATAAGTTCCATATATCATCATGATCGTCTACCGAAATTATCTTTAAGTACCTCGCAGGCGACGCGATCGATAGCGTATGAGACGCTATCAAGAACGCTCATCATACTTGACTGCATCAATTTATCCTCCGTAGGCAACGGGAGCATCTGCGAATTCAAACAAGTGCTTAGTATTTTATATCACAGAACATTGATTCATGCATGCATTCGTGTACTTATATATGTATACTAACGGAGGCGTTGGAGTCGTCGGAGTCAAGAGTGGCGCGATCGAGAATATCTTCAACGAGAGAGAGAAGGCCACGCACTTGGACTTCGCGAGCATCAGGGGAGTGTGTTTGTTGGATGAGTTTCAGCATCATGCTCTCGTCTGATGACATCGTTAGTCCCGCGCTCGTCGCTGGTACCATCTCTGTCGTCGTAGGTTTACCAGCTCTACCGCTGTGGCCCGCCAGTTGCTGAGCGTGCTGGGACTTGATCAGTGACTCCATTCTTGTGAAGTAAGTTGAGAAAGAGGGAGTTTTGACTGTTGTTTGTGTTCTGTGTGGCTAGCCATTAAATACTCGATTTTCCTACCTTACTTATCATTGTAAATTGGGTATCAACTTCTTTGCTTCTGAAACAATCTATTGAAATCTACAAGAATATATACCTTTTCTTGGTGGCTTATTGTAGAAGAATGGTTTTAGAATTGTACCTACCTTCTACGCTAATATTATGAAGTACACACCCTCCATTAATAACGAGAAGACACAATTCTTATTTGGTCTCATGTTATGTAATGTTATATCAAATATTAAATTTAATTTATTTAAAATTGATAGTCGGATAAAGTGATGCATTTATGGTAATATTTATCTGTATTTTTAATATATGCGAAATCAACAAAAAGTCAAAACCTAAACCAACACAACGATGACCACTGGAGTAGTATTGAGTTTTCCAAGTTTTTATGATACTAAGAAATATCGATCGAGAAAAAAAAAACCTAGATCACGTTTTGTCTGCTACTTTGCTTTGATTCTAATGTTACTTCCCCTCATGCCATAGAATTTTATGGATTCCGTCTTTTACTTTTAGTTACTTTATATCTATATATCGCATGTCTCACTAAATTTTATGGATTCCGTCATTTACTTTTAGTTACTTTATATCTATACATCGCATGTTTCATAGAGATGTGAAAATGAATTATCTCGCACAACTCAGCTCAATTTATAATGAGCCGGATTTTTCAACAGCTAACACAGTTTAGTTCAATTTCTAATGAGCCGGATTTTTTTATGAATTAATGAACTAACTTGTAATTAAATATAAAAAATAATTGTTTGACCAAAAAAATAAAAAAATAAAAAATAGAAAACGAATTACAAAATAACTACAAAATAAATATAGAGAAAAACTTTATATACAACCTAATTAGTGGTTTAACCCCTATAAAATCTCTATTTTAGAGAAAAATGGGAACACATAAGGTCTCAAACCTCTTTAATCTTCATACTATGTCAGTGCATGATGCATCTATGCATTAAAACAAATATATCGTTTTTTTTAGTTTTCTTTGAAATATGTGGGTTAACCCCTACGAAAAGATTGAATCTTTGATAAATTTTATATATACTTTAGTTTAGCCTCTTTAATGTTGTTTTAAGAATATAAAACTACACTCTAAATGCATATTGATGTATACTAAACGTATTTTAATGGTACATGAGCATCATTTCTAATTTTCCAACAATTAATTTATTTAAATTCCATATACTACCTAAGTAGTGGACAAATCCCTATAAAATCTCTATTTTAGAGAAAAATAGGAACACATAAGGTCACAAACCTCTTTAATCTTCATACTATGTCAGTGCATGATGCATCTATGCATTAAAACAAAAATATCATTTTTTTAGTTTTCTTTGAAATATGTGGGTTAACTAACCCCTACGAAAAGATTCAATTTTTGATAAATTTTATATATACATTAGTTTAGCCTCTTTAATGTTGTTTTAAGAATATAAAACCACACTCTAAATGCATATTGATGTATACTAAACGTATTTTAATGGTACATGACCATCATTTCTAATTTTCCAACAAGTAATTTATTTAATTTCCATATACTACCTAAGTAATGGAATAACCCCTATAAAATCTCTATTTTAGAGAAAAATGGGAACACTTAAGGTCTCAAACCTCTTTAATCTTCATACTATGTCAGTGCATGATGCATCTATACATTAAAACAAAAATATCATTTTTTTAGTTTTCTTCGAAATATGTGGGTTTAGCCTCTTTAATGTTGTTTTAAAAATATAAAACCACACTCTAAATATATATTGATGTATACTAAACGTATTTTAATGGTACATGGACATCATTTCTAATTTTCCAACAAGTAAATTATTTAAACTCCATATACGACCTAATTAGTGGTCTAACCCCTATAAAATCTCTATTTTAGATATAAATGGGAACACATAAGGTCTCAAACCTCTTTAATCTTCATACTATGTCAGTGCATGATGCATCTATGCATTAAAACAAAAATATCATTTTTTTCCGTTTTCTTCGAAATATGTGGGTTAACCCCTACGAAAAGATTGAATTTTTGATAAATTTTATATATACTTTAGTTTAGCCTCTTTAATGTTGTTTTAAGAATATAAAACCACACTATAAATGCATATTGATGTATACTAAACGTACTTTAATGGTACATGACCATCATTTCTAATTTTCCAACAAGTAATTTATTTAAACTCCATATACTACCTAAGTAGTGGAATAACCCCTATAAAATCTCTATTTTAGAGAAAAATGGGAACACTTAAGGTCTCAAACCTCTTTAATCTTCATACTATGTCAGTACATGATGCATCTATGCATTAAAACAAAAATATTATTTTTTTAGTTTTCTTCGAAATATGTGGGTTAACCCCTACGAAAAGATTGAATTTTTGATAAATTTTATATATACTTTAGTTTAGCCTCTTTAATGTTGTTTTAAAAATATAAAACCACACTATAAATGCATATTGATGTATACTAAACGTATTTTAATGGTACATGAGCATCATTTCTAATTTTCCAACAAGTAATT